CCCCTTGATCGCTTCCAAGGACGAAAATGTCTACCGCAGCACTGAATTCCATTTGCAGTCGCGCGCTAGATCACAAACTCATCGGCCATATCTTGAGCGATCTGGCAAAGATTAGCGCGACAGCACGTCCCCTCCTCAGCGGCATGCACCCTTTCGACAAAGCTACATGCATTGACGTAATGCTTTCCAGCCTGAGAGCAGTCCTTGATAAGCTGCAGCGCCCAGTCTCTGTAGATGGGGTCTTTCGCCTCAATCGCTGCCATGATGAGCGGGATAGGCCATATCTTGGTCGGCGGTGCTTCCGTCCTCGGCCGCTTCAGCTTGGAGTAAAAGCGACGAATGATGCCAATTATCTTCTCGGCATGCGCGGTTTCTGTATAAAGTGACTCTGCTTCTCGATATGTTCTCGAGCTGTAGATGTGTACGGCGTGAAAGAGGGCGTTTGCGGTGAGAAAGATGGATAGCACTTTGTTTTCTGCCGCTTTCTCTTCGCTAATACTAGAGAGCCCCTAATTTATCGTCAGTGGTCGGATTATAAAGCCCTAGGGTCGATTCATCTGCTAGCTTACCTCCTTAATGTTGTTTAATGATGCTGCCGTGCTTGCTTCTTGAATCTCTCCCACTGTGGTGCGGTCGTCTCTGGATACTGTCCCCAACAAAGCGACTAAACGACAAGTAGCTACATACAAAGGTCTATGAGCTTCATCCCATCGTCGCTCCTCCTTCGGGTACAGCAGAGTGTATTCTTCTTGCAGAAAATTGTAGGACTTGTCCACAGCAAACATTAATCCCAAGTCGTTGCCGAGACATTGTATGATGCGGTCATCCCCCCGAGAAAAGAGAGATGCGCGAGCATCGAGAAAGCAGAACCACACAGCCATTCTACCGTAGACTGACTGCGATTGATCACCGTGACCTCGGCTTTCGAGAAGACAAGCTTCAAGGCTTAGCATACGCTTTAACGAGGCCCTTCGTGAAAGCAGCAGATCGGTCCAAGCGAGGAAATAAAGCATGACTGAGACGGCATCCAGGTCATCGTCTCGGATGATGCGCTGAGGCCAAGTCTGGTCAAGTTCCTGATCCATGGCCCCAATCCCGAAATGGATGCCCAATTGATCCCCAAGAGCTGCGAGACTCTTTTCGTAGTGCTCCAAGGCGCTACTCTCCGAATCCAACGTCCCATTACAGTGGAGGTGAGCAGCTGTCCATGCGTAAAGTGCCGATATCACAAACGAATGGCTCGAGTTGAAGCGATTGAAGAAGTACGTGTGATTGTTCCAAGTTTGGCCCTTGGAGCTGTATTTCGACGCGAGATTCTGGGTGTAGTGCTGCGCCAGGACCCGTTCGGAGACTGTCTGAGGGGAACTCGAGGACAGGCTGCCGGCGTTGAAGTCAGTGGATATTTGACCAGGCGAGTCCGTCTGCGGCAGCCAAAGTTGCGCGGCACCATTGTAAATGATTGTAGATTCCGGACTCAAGTCCCACTGTTGGTCGGGATACGAGTCAAATACCCCATCCATCCAAGGCATCGCGGTCGCATCGAGCATTGCAAGTGATGATGGTTCGAATGAGTCCGACGCATCCGTATCGACAGCTGAAAAGGCAGCCTGGGTCTGAGGGTTCATCTCCACATGGATTCGTTGCCCACGAGTGGTCTTCTTCCTCCCACGACGCCTAGTATGTGTCCTGATCTGCTCTGTCTCATCTCTAAACTCGAATACAGCGTGAGGCGACGGTTCATAAGCACATTTGAGGTGAGAGCGTCGACAGGGTGAGCAGCGCGGCTTGAGTTGATCACAAGAGAGTTTTCGTCTTGCGCAGGTAGTGCATAGAGACATCGTGAGTCGTCGTGAAGGGCCGTGTGCTTGGATGAGGGGTGATTGAAGTGCAAGAGCGCTTTCGTCTTGGGAGTTTATCTTGAAAGCTGGGGTAACTAATGACTAATCGATGATAAGCGTGCCCAGAACCGCGCTAAGCTCAGCACCAGGAAACAGTCTTCTCCATGTCACTAATACAATCGTACACTATTCCGCTCTATCATTCTGTAATCCTATTTGCCAATGTGGTGCCGAGGCCACAATGAAGTCATCAGCATGCCGAGAATCGAACCGTTCGGTATTTATTCAGTGCATGTTGTGACTGTCTGAGTAAACGAAATTTGACAAACTATTCCTGGCCAACTTCGACGAAGTATCATAGATAGATCGACAGCATTAACGGCAAGCGAACGACCTAGCCAGAGTTCGAATTGTCTCGAGCAATCACACCAATATCCATCGCTTCACGCCTTTTCACCAAGGCTCACCAAATATATCTAAACGAGTCTTGCTGCCAATCCGTAAGATCTAAATCATCCCCGGAAATGTTTACGTTATGGATTTCTTGAACTTGGCGACGATCCCGACGATGGTTCTGGTACTTGATGTAGATGCTAAGAGGGACTGATTAGTTTTTTGGACAAAGTGGAATCCTAAGTTTTCTTACAGCAGAACGATTTCTAAAACAATCATGGCAGCGACTGAGGAGTAAAAGCCTTTGAAAGCAGTCTGGAACTGCGGTGCCTCGTGCGTGATGAAGAATTGGGGGCCTGTGAATTGGCCAAGACAGTAGCCCAGGAACATCATGACCTGTAAATGTTATCAAAACAGGTCTACTCAAGATTGGCATAGTCAAATACTTACGCTTGCGGTCGACTTCTTGGTAAACCCTGCGATATTCGAGGACAGCATACTCATGCCAAGTCCGAAAGGGACGGTATTGACATAAATGACTGGAGGCGAGTATAAGCGAAAGTTCTGAGCTACAAAATGACATCCTCTACGTACTATAAAAAGATGCAAGTCGGCCTTGGTGGTTAGATTGTGGAAGGTCTAAGTCAAGTCAGATACTAAAAGCAGATACCAACAATGGTAGTAGAGACTCACTATCCACTAACACGGCTCCTATCAAGACGATAATGTTCGTTGCGATCATGACGTAACACCTGGTGTTCTTGAAACGAGTGCAAAACCAACCACTGGAGCACAAAAGTCAGTAATGGGATATGAGGGTACAAAGTTGGATACTCACGCAAAGACTACTGAAACAAGGTGGATGGCGTTGGACGGCATGGCCATCAATGTGGCGTGGCGACTCGTGTAGCCGAGGGTCTGAGTCAACACGATCTTTGAAAACTGCTCTGTCATCAGAATATGATGCAACTACTGACGCAATCCAAGGTTCCTCACCGATGTTAGACCGCCTCCTTGTAGGCATTGAAGAAAGGCGTGTATCGCTAATATCCACGGCTGAGGATCCCTGAGGCATTCCCAGACCTGGTTCCATTTGTATTCGGTGTTTTTGATACCAGTATGGTTCTTAAGGACCTATAATTTGGTTAGTACCTCGATTGGCGTTGGTTAGCAGGGGATTTACCCTATCAGTAGCGATGTCGCGCTCTCTCTTGCTGAAGAACCATGCATTCGAAGGCGACGCCGGAACGCCAAGAAAGACAACAACACCCCAGAACATCGTCATCGGCCCGAAGACAAGGTAGACGACTTGCCAGACGGCATACTTGGAGCCTGAATGATCGCTACCCGAGAGTCCGTATGTTATCGCATCGGCCATGAAAGATCCGACAGCACTGGCGGACCACCATAGTGACGTGCGAAGAGGCTGCTCCTCACGTGTCCAGTACTGGGATATAAGGATCGTGAGAATGGGCAACATGCATGATTCGAAAACGCCGAGGAAGACACGGTTGACGCAGAGTGTTGCAAAGTCTTTTGTAAATGCCGTTGTGCAGGCGGTGAGACCCCAGAGGAAGATCAGCGCACCGAAGTATCGTCCACTATACCGTGGTCAGAAAGTATTACGCATCACAAGACGATCTTAGAGAGTGAAGGCACGAAACCATCCCTAATCTGAATCGTCTTCTGAGAAGAGAAGACGTACATGGGAAGTTTCTGCATCAAGAGAGAGCTGGGATATTGCCAAACCAGGTAGCCCAGGTAAAATATTGAGGATGACCAACTATACTGCTGCCCCACGAGGTTCTGTGCGGATGTCAGTCGTCACATGGAAATATCTTCAAGGTGCAGATTCCCTTACCAGATCTTCCTTGATGCCAAAGATGGAAGCCTCGGATAAAGCGACTTTGTCCATATAGTTAAGGACGTATGTGCACACCATCTATTTTTGCTGAAGTTAGTTCTCGAATTCTCCAGGTTCTGTAAAAAAAAAAAAAACTTCTACCATTGGCAGCAGGATCAGGTCAAGCTTCCATCGGACCCTCGCATCTTCCTTGGAGCTGTACACGATTCCATGTGGAGAAGATTCCAGTTCGTCCGAGTGCTTCTCATCACCATCCAAAGTAGCAATCGGTTTGCGACCGTTTGCTGTATCTTCCACAACTTCGCCCATCCCGACGGTGGAGTTTGTTGGGATGACGGTCACGGGCTTGAGGTCTTTATCCATTCTGTTGACTGGTGAATGTACGTGTTGACACCTTAGCACATGGTAGGTGTTGATTGCACGCGATTCGCTGCCATTTATACCGCGTGGTGTTGTTTGTATTGAGACTGGTTAAAGAACCAGGGATGGTGTTTGGCGGGGATGATAGCGTTCGCTGATATGGCTAAAAATGGTATAGCCTAGTCTGGGGTCGCCCATTTGACCGTTTTGAGCCGAGTGCGCGAGATGGAGAGATAGCGCGCCTGCGATCTCTAGGGAAGCCTGTTTTCAGTTTGGTGATTTCTGATTGTTGCAGAGGTCACGAGTAACTCTTGAGTGACTCTCTGATTACGTTTAAGCTACGAGGTGTCGCAACAGATAACGCGAGAGCGAGGATTCGACGTGACTGGGACAGTTACATCACAACTAAGAGATTGGAAACCATGTCGTTATATATCTTTCTATTTTACTCATATACTCAAAGCAGTCATCGCTTAATTCTCACTGCATAGGAACGACTATTTGTGCATGAATATGTTAGTCCCGCTTCGTAGCTTTCACCCTCTCTAGAAATGAGTTGGCTTGAAGCCTCCTTTGGGAAAAGGCACAATATTCTCCTCGGCGGTATGCTTCACCTTACCCATCGAGATGGAGAATTTCTCCTGGTCAAAGATGCTGTACACATTGCGCAGGAAAGGGTCACCGAAGGTAGACACAGGGTACCCACGAGAAGCGAGGAATACTCCACAGGTGCCATCAGGGAATTTCGACACCAAGCCGTGGAAGGGAACCTTGATTGTGCCGTGAACGCCAAACTCGACGGCGATGTATCCGTCGTTGCGCTTCGAGTCAGCGTACTTGCAGTCGACGACGAAGTATCGCTGGCCCGGGGCGGGTTCCTTGGTGACACCGAAAGCGCGGAAGACGGGAGCCATGGTCTTATCAGTCAAGTACCAGTTCGCAACGCCTGTGTCTAGCAGCACTGGGACACCGATGTTCTTCTTTCCATAGGTTTCCTTCGTATGGTTGTTACCCTTGGTGAGGACAACCTCGACAGAGGTGACGTTGACCGAGTTTGTCTGGCCACCGCTGAGATCAAGGTTATGCGGATCAACCATGGGAACTGTGATGAGATCACCGTCAATCTTGGCTTTGTCGTAGGCACCACCAAGGAGCATCCTGGCGTTGGCGGCCTTGACATCATCTGGTCCTAGGTAGATGCTCGAAGCAAGATAATTGATTCTAGAAGCATTCTTGAGCTCCGGTAGTAGGTACGCCGAGGTCCTGTCAGTGCATTTGGGGCCGGCGAACTGGCACTCCAGCGAAAGGCCTATTCTTATCAGTATTCTTTACGTCCAAGTGTTTTTGTATGGAAGAATCTTACCAACAATTGTACTAACGTCGCCGCTGAGCTTGTCCGGGAAAGCATAATAAGACGTATAACCAAAGTACATGTTCTTGGTTGAAACGCCGCCGATGACTACAGTGTCGGTGAGATAGTCGCCCTGACCAACGTAGCCTAAGGCATCCGCGAAGCCAGTCCCTGCGTAGTGAGATGTTCTATAATAACAATGAGCGACGAAAATTACAAGTCTGGAGGAGCATACTTGGAAGTTTTGTTGTTAAAGGTGCCGAACGTTTTGCAGTTATTTCCCTGCTTTTTGCAGACCTCGTTGCGAGGGTCAAGGAAAGAATATCGCGGGCTGCCAGTGTCGATCTTAAGATATTCCGTCTGCGGCGGTGTGCCAACCTGCAGCTTGGCATAATACGCTGTCAGGCCCTCATCGCGAGATAACGGGACGGAGATGACACCAGCAGGAGTCTTGGTCGCGGCAGCGAGGCCAGGAAGCGCGACAGCAGCAGCGACGGCGGCCAGAGTGATGAGAGCCATGATTGTAGGTTACTTTCGCTGTCGTTGATGCGCAACCAACTTGCCTGATGCTTATCAGACTATATATGTATAAATGGGCTAATCCGCCCACTATACGGTGTAGCCCCTGTCCATATGAAGTCATGAGGTCCGATACGAGTTTCTTAGCGGGTCTCATTCCTGATCTGCCGAGCCCGCTGTGATGCCATTGGTGGTGGAACTGATTGCTAGCCGGTTTTGGGAAATTAATTCGTATGCGGAGCTCGGCATTTTATCCATCCTCGCGTGGACAATCAAAGCGCGAACCATAACTATGTACGGAGTAGCGTAGCATTGAAACGGGGGAACGAACCGGAACGAGGTCGTGCTCTTGGCCATAAAACAGAGACGAGAGAATTACTATTTTTACGATACTTCCTAGCCAACATAGTCACACTGCGCCAAGTACTGCTCTCATTATGTCTCTCAAACTTCTTCGATTGATTGCAGCCTTGGCTGCTTCTGCGCATGGCCTTGCTGTTCCAGATAGCCAAGGCGCTGCTTTCAGTGTCGATGCTTTACCTTCGACATCAGAGGAGTTCGATCCTGCTGCCGAGAGGCAGATGCTCGAGGCGAAATACCCTGCGACGCATGGCGATATCAAAGAAGCGCGTAGCGTGAAGCAGTCAGGCTCTGCCAAAGTGAAGCCTGCCTCATCTGGCCTGTCCTTCTTCGTCCCTACAGTCGTCGGGAACCAAACTTTCAAGTTGATCTACGACACGGGCTCTGCCGATTTGTGAGTACTCTTTGATTCTGCAATTGCGCACCAAGACTGACATTTCACTTGGTAGGTGGGTATATTCCAACGAGTCTTCTCCCTTCCAGAGCCTGGACCACCCAACCTATGTCCCAACATCATCCGCAGAGCTTCTTAAGAACTATAATTGGTCCATCAAGTACGCATTTGGCAGTGAGGTCAGCGGTGTCGTTTACACCGACACCGTCAAGGCGGGCCCCGTTGTAGCCCACAAGCAAGCCGTCGAAGCTGCCACCATCATCCAAGCTGAGTTCGCCTCCGATGGTATTCTAGGTCTCGCATTCAGTACCATCAACACCGTCCAGCCCAAGAAGCAAAAGACTTTCTTCGAAACTCTCCTGCCTACTCTGAAAAACAAGGTTTTTGCTGCGAATCTCCGACTCGATGGCAAGCCTGCGACTTGGGACTTTGGATACATTGACGACACCAAGTTCAAGGGCAAAATCGCCTACACCCCCGTTGTCAGCCAGAAGTACTGGTCAATGAATGTGAGCACCTATGCCATTGGCAAAGGCTCTTTCACCAGCAGCAAGACGACAGTTGGAGAGGTCCTCGTCGACTCCGGCACGTCCCTTGTTTACCTCCCTGAAGCTGTGGTGAACGACTATTACAGCCACATCAAGGGCTACAAGCTCCTAGAGGGTGGCAGTCGCACATTCCCATGCAACAGCACCATTCCCGACTTCCACTTCAAGATCGATAGCACCACGCTCTCTATTCCCGGACGAGATGTTAACTACACTGTATATGACCCCGCTGAGCGTACCTGTGTTGGAGCGATCCAGACTCAGCTTAACAGCAAGTACTCTGTACTAGGAAACTTGTTTATGAGGAACTATTATGTTGTTCATAGCCAGGAGGAGGCTACTCCGAAGCTTGGATTTGCACCGCATTGATCCACTCAATGGGATTTACAAGAAAGAGCTTGCTCACTTATTTCCATCTTCCTTCGTCCTGACTAATTAACACTATATCTACCCGAGACTATTGATTGTCCGTGAAGCTGTTCATATGATTTATGTTACAAGCGTAGAAAGTCTTAGTAGCTAGCATCGGCTATCATTAAGTACCGAACTAGATCTCCCGGGCACTAATATAGTACTTGATTACTGACGCAATATCGCTGGTACAACGTCCAAATTGTGATCTTTGCGTGAGAAACCTGTCTACCCAGAACCGTCAGCGCCTTATTGATATTGCCAACTGCGACAACCTCGAGTCTTCTGCCTACTGAATATGAGAACAAGAACCACGAAGAAACAGGAAAAGATACTTGGAAATATCTTTATCTTTACATAGTTGAACTTGAATGCAGTCTTATTAGCTACCTGAGCCTTATCTAGGGTATCCACCCCACACAATCTGATAATCTCATAACCTCTGTGACTCTGGTTCTATTTCTCTTCATATGATTTGCTGATCAATCTCGCCGTCATTCTCATTACTATCTTCAACCTATTTCAATCAATCTAGACTAGAGTGGCAGGTATGCTCATCTCATTCTGACAATACCACCCCAGCAGCAAGTAGTCCTTGCCTATGATCATCCGCGAGAGACGCATCCAGTTCTTCATCCACTTCCAGCATCCTCTGATAATAATATCCTGCTATAAAGTCTACCACAGACTCATTTCGACTTTCAAACTCTCTTTCAAATTCTTCGTCGAGATCATGGAGTCTTTGGAGTAAGAGCCTGTCCTCGTCCAATACTTCTGCCCAGTCACTGACGTCTGATTCTCCCATTTCCTGATTCTCCCTATTCCTTGCACAAGGCCCAACATGCCTGATTCCTAGGAGTTCCATTGTAATTGCGTGAGTAGCACACTTGGCTAGATGGGATGTGTCAATGCTGGCTATTTTGTCTTCTATCAGAGCGACAAGAAGGAAAACCTTTCTAGTTATGTCGACCTCCCAAGGACCATCCCAATGCTCATTAGCCACAAATCCAGACAACAAAGACCCCAACGGTCGGTTGAAGCCACTTGATCCGCAGGGACATGGTAAGTTGGACTCGATCTTACTGTTGCATATTTTGGTTATCAGCATGATTCCTTCCCCCTGCCAAAGGTAATCCGGGCTGAGGTCCTCATAGAAGTAACCGAGTGGGGAAGGAAGTAGAAATCCACCAATTCTTGCTCCGATATCATGTAATGCCGATGTCTGGAAACCGTCAATGATGTATTCCAGCTTGAGATCGTGCTTCATCAGCCAACTCAGATAAGTAACGTCATAATAATCGAATCTAGTTCTCCAGTCATTATATGCAAGAACTCTAATGCGTGCAAGGAGAGGTCCGATACCACTCTCATCTGAAGGCCTCATGCCGAACTCAACGGCCAGTGAACAGAGTTCTGGACATAGTGAGTTTTCGAACAGACCCCCAGAGTAGTGGTTCAGATAGAAGGGTTTGAGGGCCCAGCTAACTTCAATCCTTCGCATTCTCACTTCATCATAGTTTGACTGTAGTTCCCCCCACAGGTAGGTTGCAGTAGCGTCAGGGACGCATTCAACCGTGATTCCATACCTATCTATGACTTGAGAAGGGAGGATGGCGAGAGAAAGATCTCGTAGCCGCTGCCGCCGGTTCTGAGAATGTTGGAATAATAGCCTTCGGCATTTGTATGAACATAATGACAAATATTCTACTGCCAGCAAATGGACTGGTATGCAGCAGTCGGCCTCTACCATCAGTTGAACTGAATCAGAGCAATGGCAGTTATGGCACATCTCCCACCGGTATTTCTCGGTACAATTGCGCCCGCTTAGCCTCATAGCAACTTGTAGGGGGCTGATAGTTGTTGATGCATCGTCGCACAATCGAGACACAGCTTGATGATGCAGAAGCAAAGCAAGCCCCTCCGGCCAGGTGATGCTCACATGCAATATGTTTCGTCCGTAAATATCTGTCTCAAAGATGCCAGGAGGGAGTTGGTCGTCCATTGTAATAGCTGCGAGCTTTTGCCGGTCCCGCTGCAAAACTGTCACGAAGACGTCGTTAAATCCAAAGGCTATATTTGACTTATTAGATCCGTGTGGTCTCATAGAACATTTAAAGTAGCTGAATACCTTCTGCGATATCGGGGTAGTCCTCCCAGGCTTGCAAGTACTCAAACTCATGTTCCGCCTTACACATAAGGTACTTTGTTTCCTTGTTGGTAAAGCCTTCGCTACAAAAGGACTTATCGAGTTTTTCAATGAAGTTATAGAAATAAGGAAGAGCTCTGATATAACGCGGTTCATAAAGATAATGTAAGATTGTGCTTGTCTCCGTCAGTCAAGTCGTGTAAAAAGTGTTTCCTAGCTCTTACTGCTGATAAAAGTTGGGGGCAGAGATGGAGACCCCAATGTCAAACAGGTAAAACAAAAGAGAGCAAATTGCTTCAAAGTTGATCTTGAAACTTGTTCCCTCTTCTACCTTCCAGTCTGATAAGTGGTTAAGATAGAACTCAAGACTCTGTTAATGTCAAAGGTTCTCAGAAATTCATATCTAGAATCTATACTTACATACAAGGACCAATGGGCGATGCTATTTCCATATACATCTACGTCAAACGGCGACGCAGCACCTGAGCTGTAAATGGTTCTTAGCTTCTGGATCACAAAAGATATCTGTTCCCGTATATCAATATGCTCATTGAACAGGGGTGAGGGAAGACGATTTCCTGCAAGGTTACGAAAGACTTGAAAAACCGGGCTTGATTTCACAACATTACAAGACTGTATTCCAAAGGAAAGGCTATATGCCCCGGCAGGATAATCTCGTTTCAGTGATGTAGACAAACTTCGGGCAAGCCAGTGTCGAAGCCCGAAATAGGTAAATGTAGTTTTTGACGTCCGAAGCGATTGACTGGAGAGAACGCAACCAGGGCGATGGCGCCGTTGTAAATGCTCATGTTTCGAAATGGCTAAACCCCACCATGATGGATCAACATAAGATGACTGTCGACGAATGGAAGTGGTGGAAGGATCAGAACAAGTGCATTCCGGATCATTCAGTCTTTTCACTATGCTTTCCTCCTTATGCGAGTTTTGTAGATACCGAGGCTTGGCAAAGTCGCCGGGATTACAGATGCTAGTGACAAGGGAGTTGGATTGCATATGACGAGATATTGCTGCCACTTCCATTTCAGCACGTTGAACAGCCGGACCGATGGCGTCGAGTCGCTTGGCAATGGTGCCTATCATGTTGTGCGTCATGTTATCGCTGGTTTTGGTGTAATTCCTCAAAACTAGCAAATCTTCGCTGATGCCGGTGTTGATATCACTTCATGAAATCAGCAAAAGCAGAACTGTAATTATAGTTGGAGTGCCTCACAGGTTGAGGTTTTGGACGAGATTACCCAAGGTGGCATTGGCACTGGAAAGCTGGTTCTGGAGTTGGATTAGCTTCTTCTGATTAAATGGATAACGAGCTATCGTCATTTGATTTCTCAGTTTTCCTTTAAGATCTGACAAGCTCTCATCCCTGGTGAGGTCCGATATCATTTGCTGCAGGGCCACAAGTTGAGATTTGCAATTGGCCATGCCTCGATTTACTCCGTCCGCGGACAAAGCGTGGCGATGGCCAAGCTTCAATGTGCTCGACTGAATGATGAAAAGGTTTGACTCCAAAAGAGTAACACTTTGGCTGGCAATCTCGATGTCTTGGTGTCGACCTTTGACGGCATTGAAATAATTATTAAGACCGCTGCAGAGAGTCAACCCAAGAGATACAAGGCCAGCGACGCCGCTGGCGATTGATAACGGGTCGGCCATATCGAAATTGACAGGTTTGCAAGAGGAAGAACCAAGAGACGGATACGAAGCGGGGAAGTTGACTCTTGAGTGTGAGTGGCTTACTGCAAGGCAGACTCACTAAGTTCTTTACGGTGATGTAAGCTCTCAGCCACAAGTCTCAACTGCGAATAAGATATCAATGCGAGGCAGACAAGGCAGAAAGACATTCAGATCAGGCGATCAATCAAAGCGTGCAGCCAACACATCGCCTCACCACAAGAAATTTCAATCCCCGATAGAATGGAGATTTAAGACATTTGCTGCTGTTACGGGGAAATTTTATGCCAGGCATCAGGGTTGATAACCGAAAGGCTGTTCGTCTTTTCCCATTCTCATGAAGCAATAGCCTGCTCAACGAAATAATTAAACTACTCATAATATAAGGAATCCAATGAGCTACGTTTGAGTGAGGTTGTGACAATGCTTGAAGAGAGATTATTTCGCAAGCTTTCTGTAACCGGCCAACACTGAGTGGCAACACTGACACCTTACCCGCCACAGTGAGGAGTGAACCAAGGGAAACCGAGGACCAACTTGACAGCCCAGAATATTAGCTAACAACTAGACATACTAAATTAATTTCAATCTGGTGCTGTTTTTTCACCAAAAGGGTAGCCTTTTCGGTTCTATGATTTCCTGACGGCAGCAGAACAACTCACTAAATGACGACGACCTTGGTCCACCCCATATTCAAAGCCAAACCATATGGCGAATCCATGTTGCCCTCCTTACGGGAAGCAGCCCTAACGGCAGGAAAGAAAATCCCATGTCGATGGTAGGTATATGAAACCGTAAACTCGACAGATTGTGCAACAGCTCCAAAGCTCTGCTTGACAAAATTACCTGTTCCTTCAAAATCGCACTGCGAGAAAACAACTTTTCCTGCGCCAGGAGGAACCCCGACGTGCACCCTAAAATTAACTGTAGTGCCTGCTTTGACTTCGACTTGTTTGCTACCATCGACGGTGAGGCCCACGACAGGCTGGATTCCTTTCCTCTCTGGGGCAGTGGCTGGAAGATGAACTTGACCGTTATGTATGGTGTAATTGGTCGGAGTACTTGAATATGTCCCGGTCTCACACCAGATACTCAAGTCTCGAAGATGCTGCTCATAAATGCCTGTAAACTCCACAACTCTATAGCTTTTGGGGCCTTCAACAGGACCCATTTGATGGTCCGCGTTCTCAGTGTAATGAAGATGAAACTTGTTATCGATATCATCCCCATAGACCTCTCTGGCTTGGTGCTTGTACCAGTCTGCATGCCACGGAAACGCGTCAACGTCCAACAGATTATCCATGACGATCATTTTGCCGTTGAACTTGCCCGAAAAAGTAGCGCCGCCACTAGCCGACCTTGTTATTTGCTCTGCAACAAGCACTGAGCGCTGAGGATAGATGGGAGTTCTCTTGGAATCACGGAGATAGTCATAGCCGTAGAAGCCTGCGCGTTTCGGTAGCGAGTAACGATGGAGTGCGTGCATGGCGAGGAACATTCGGTTCCTTATGTGGACTTGAGTCCCTTTTTGTAGAAGGGAGAGGGCTGCGGTGTCATTATTTGGGTGAAGGGTGACAGTCTTGTTATCACTGTTGTCCTGACCCTTAGCTGTGATCTTACCAATTTCCTCGCCATCTTTGGACATGATGATGATGTCCAACCAGTATGCTCTCGTTGATTTTGGTGCCTCGCCGACGGTCAGCTCGACAGGAACGTTGTTGACGTCATACTTGATAGAAGTGATCAAGGTTTCGTAATCAAGCATCTCCTCGCGAACCATATCACCAAGCTTAGACTTTTCAGTGCCCAAGTATCCCGGCTGGTTCCAAAAGTCTTCCACATAGGTCGGATCCATTCTCATCACAGCCGAGCCGGACACACTTCTTATGGACTCCCAAAGTGACTCAGACGCCCCAGTTTCGTAGAATGTCTCCCATCCTTTGATAGGGACACCAAGGGCCGTGGCCTCTTCAAAGACCTTTCTTTCAGTGTGACTGAAGGTTGAGTAGACGTCCCCACTACCACCAGGCCTAAGCGCTTCCTCGATCTCGGCACTCTTATTCTGAAGAACGAGACCCGCGAGAGCACGAACAGACCAGTTGTTGATAGAAACCGGTACAGCTTGGACAAGTGTCACAGCACCAGACCATATACCAATCGTATTTTCCATTGCTCCAACGGTGACAAGAGATCCACCACTACCTCCGTAGATATATCCATGAATTTTGTTGGCCTTGGGCTTGTAGTACTCACTGGCAATCACCATGCTGAACTTTGCTGTAGCAGCATCACCGCGATAGGTTGGTAGACCAGATGCACGAACGGTATATCCTCCGCTGTCTGCTCCAAAGCCAATCTCTCGATCAGATGCAGTTGAGTTTTGTAGTGGATGGACAAGTTGGAAAAAGCGACCCTCCCATCCATTGTCGGGTAGGTAGATGTTGAAGTCGACTACTGTTCCTTCGAAGTGCCCTGACACTCGAAGATGAGGGATCGGCAATGTCTCATGAGCTTCACTATCGATTACAGGCCGGGAGTATATAGGATCGATGCAGTCTTCGGTGATTTTCCATACTCCATCGACTTGGATGCAAGGATTGCCGGTCAGCTTTGCCTTGACTGAGTGGATGGGAGGTGAAACGGGCAAAATTCTCTGTGCCGAGTCTAACCAAGTCCTAATACAGATATTAGCAGTCTTATAGATCTTTCGGTCATCGAAGACATACAAGGCGCTGAGAATGTTAAAGGACACCATGATTGATACGATTGTTGCTGCAAGAAGCGCGAGCTAAAAAGCTCGAATAAGATTCGGTAGTTTTATCTATTCATTTATCTGTTCCTCAGATGACTTTATACATGGCTGCTTCGGATAGCTCGGACCTTGATGATCCTACCAACACGCGGAGTAAGCACCTCAGTTGACACTAGCGTTGGCGTACTCGTCGTATTTGACCGAAAATTATGTGATTGGGCAACGTCCAAGGGCCGAGGAGCATGAAGACATCTGGCCCATGCTTATGCACCAGAAAAGATTAGTCTCAAGGCTACTAAGCCTGTAATGAATTGCCTCAGTCTTCTGTCACTTGGGCTACACGTTCCAAGATTTGCCTCCTTTTACGAACGTCAATCATTCTTCTTTCTCACTACGAAGTAACAATACAAAAACTGAAACACACAATCCATCTTCAAACACTTTCTTAGTTCCAAGTAGATGGTCCAAACGTCTCATTGGTGCCCAGCTTCCTCCACGGAGTACCGAGGCCATCCGCAGTCGTGCCCTGGACGTTATTTCCCCACCAACTAAGACTGACACCCGGAAAGACGAGGGCGAAGAAAATCACAATAGCAGAAATTGCAAGACCAGAGTCTAACGCCGCGGACAGAACGTAATTATACTGTGTGATGTTAGCTAAGCAGAGCGTGCACAAATATTTTATCGCAGACTCACCTTTGCCCACCAATGCGGAAACTTACCGCGAATCCACTTATTGAAGATGAATGAGACTGCAAAAGCAGAGCTGTAGTTGATGCCTGTAGCGGGAGGTACGTTTCCAGTACCAGCAAAGAAGAGAGGCCAGTGAAGTTTACGCAGCAACTTGCTGTTGGGATACCTTTTCTTGAGGAAGAATGTGACTACAGGGAGAAGAGCTCCAAGCCAGAACAAGTGCAACAGTCCAGCGTAGATCTTGCCCACGCTGTAGAGACGGGCGGGGCCGACAGCTCCCCAAACAATACTGGAGGAGAAGTTGACTCGACCTTGAGGACAAGTGTACTTGTTGGGTTGGTCGCTCTCGCAGATGTCCTTGACGTGGTGCAACATCCACAGAACAACAGCGTTCTGGGTGAGAGACCCAACGATGCACGCCGTCAACTGTGCGACAAATAGAGTGCGACGAGGAATCTTCATGTACAACCCGAGCTTCATGTCCGAGGCAAAGATCATCGCTTGGCTTAGTCCAGTGTATGCGTAGAACTTGAAGATCAGCATGACGACTGGCTTTCCAGGAATGGCGTATCCAGAAATAATCTCACCAAGGACAGTGAGGACATTACTGTTGAGATTGGCGACAGCATAGACGCTTCCAGTGGGGATGAGATAGAATGCTGCTAGTCCAAAAGCGAGGAATACACCCCAGACAGGCATCTGTGTGTCGTACACTTCTTGCACCATGATTGTGAGACCAAGAACGATAGCGGTCAATGCAGCGTACCACCACCAAGGAGCATCAGGGTATCTCTCGATCAGCCGAGCATGAACATCCTTCTTTCTCTGCGGGTTGAAAGCGCCGACGATCTGCTTCCAGTAATTGAGGAAGATATACGTCGGAACGCAAGTCATTGTCGCGAAAGAGATACCGTAGCTCAGAGCGAAAGTGACCGGCATGAAGATGGGACTGTATTCCTTGTAGTCTTCTGGTGAGAAGTTTCCATGTCGATCAACGACGCGCGACGCGTTGAAGACATTGCCGGTGTTGTCGTAGATGTCGCCTCCAGAGAAGGGTATATAAGCGGTGTACCAAGTGTTTGTGTAGTACAGAATTGGGGTGACGAGGGCGAATGTTATGACCCATCCGGCGAAGACGTTGGCTTGTGCCCAGAAAGGCACGACGAGGGGGGAGCCGTTGTATGCGATCTGAGACCAGTCAAATGTGGTGGGGAGATAGGCTAGGCCGGTTGACATGCCGAAGAGGTTGTTGACGACGATGTTGTCTAACAGAAGTCAGCACGGCGAAGCAAGGGTGAATTGAGCGGTCAACTTACTTGGTGCAGCCCAGCAGATGAAGGCAAAGGTGCTTAGCCCAGTGAAGAGGAACCCAGGAAGCCAGTACTAAAAGGCCGTCAGCGGTGACACCAAATACAAGGAGACAATTGCTTACCCAGAGCCAACTACCAGCAAAAACGTAAACGAAGAAGCGATACCTCGAGATACTCCACCCATCAGCCTTCGGGTTCGCCCTCCCATGCAACGTCTGAAACAGCGCCGCATTAGCAAGCGTCGAAGGCCAAACCATATGCGGAGGCTCAACAATGAATCTGTACGCCATACCCGCCATTCCAAGACCAAACAGCTGCATCGTAAGCGCGAGCAAAAACTGATACCCAACAGGAGTCTTTAGCCCCAAGAACGCAGGCGCAACTTGCGCTTGGATGATATCCGTCGCCCAAGACGGTCCGAACGAAAGGTTCGACATGATGGTTATGAGCGCATGCTCCTTGATGTTGAAGTGATGATCGGGGTTAAGTGCCATTTCTCTTCCGAATAGTGTGATTCTCATGATAGGAAGGGCGTGTGCAAGGGCTCTCCCGGCTGGATAAGCGACTAATTGTGCGACGAGCGATGAGATAGTTACACTGGGATATCGCATTGAAAAGAATTGATTGATGCCAGTGCCGAGGATGGTGAAGAGTAGACCCAGCGTCCAAGCACGGAGCGTGTTGACGGGCATAGAAGGATCATCAACATTGGGGACATTAGCTCTGACTTCAGGTTGAGGTGAGTTGTCAGAGCCAATGTCGTAGTGTTCATCTATACCGCTGATGGCAAAAGCAGTAGCTTTGTCCGGATTGTCGATGATTTCTTCGGAAGTGCCCTCAATGGTGCCATCTTCCTGTCTTGAAGGCCCAAGATTGTCGGCGTATTCAACTTTAGGTGTCATGATGGCGGCTCAATCACAAAGAAATGCCTAACAAATTAAATCGAAATAAGGTCAATATTGGGATCTTCTGGGGACGCATTGTTTTCTTGGCGCGAAAGTCTCGGCATTTTATAACTTTGTCTTATCGCGAGTAATGTCACATTCGATACTACTCCCCTCCCCGGATTTCGGCAAACGTTAGTTTATCAAGCCCCTCATGCAAGAAGAAGGTCCAAGCGATGTTGTCCATTGAGCTAGTTTTTAATTGGTCGCCGGATCATCAAGTCCTTAGCTTCGGGGTTATGGAGAATAATTGCTACCCCTCGGGGGGCAAGAAAATAGCAAACCCTACTGCAGGGTGTCAAAATAAACTTAGCAAAAGTCATCCTAAACTTAGGCTATATTACCTAAATCTTTTTGTCATTTAGGATTGAGGTCCTGAGTTTTCTTTCCTCCCCTAGCTACCCTACCTTATCTTGACTCTTTGACTAGTTCTTGATTAGAGGTTGCCACTTCGAAACGATAGAGTGAGGTTGATTGCGGGGTAGTTGAGTGAAGGAAGGTCCAGCCCTGATTTGTCACGAGATATCATATCTGCTCCGGTTGCGGGCGTCATATCAGCAATAAAACGGCCAGCTTCAACGCCTGATAGCATAATTTTGTTCTTGAATCTTATCTTTCATTCTTTTCCATGATAGTACTAAGTTCTTTCTATCAACCATGGCTCGCACAGTAGCACCTCTAAACAAGGACTCGTCAATCCTCATCATCGGAGCGTAAGTCTCAGCCCCGCCAATACACCATCACAGGCTAATCCCCTAATGCTTAGGGGCACATTCGGTATCAGTACAGCCTACCATCTAGCCAAGCGTGGCTATACCAACATCACTTGCATCGACCGCCACCCATGGCCAAGCCTAGACTCTGCCGGCCATGACTTGAACAAGGTGATGCGTACTGAGTACGACGAACCACTTTACACGCGCCTTGCTCTTGAAGCACTCGACGCTTGGAGAGATCCAGAATGGCATGATGTATTTTTTGAGACAGTGAGTTATCGATCTCAATCGCCGTCCTTGGGGCTTAGACTCACAACAACAGGGACGTATCACTACTACGATGGGTGACAAGAAAGCAGAGTCTTTCCTTGAAAAGTCTTACGAAAATCTCAAAAGAGCAGGAAAATCCAATAACCTAGAGCTCATCAGTGGCAGAGATGAGATCGTCAAACGTGTTCCCCAATTGAAGAACGCCGTTGGGATCGAGCACTGGAAGGGTCTTTACAACAGTCTCGGCGGATGGGTCCACGCTCGAAAAGCCCTGGAGAAATGGGCATTTGAATCTGAGAATATGGGCGTCACATTCGCTTCAGGCCTAGGAGGTACGATGACCGGCCTTGAGCTCGATGCTTCTGGCTCAATGACCGGGATCCGCGTTGCTTCTGGTGAGGTTCTTCATGCGGATCACTACATTCTCAGCACGGGCGCTGCGTCGCCACAACTACTTCCCGAGTTGTCGCAGCAGCTATGGTCAAAGTGCTGGACTCTGGGCCATATCCAGCTTACTGATGAAGAGGCTTCTGAGTGGAAGGGTGTTCCAGTGATTGATAACTATGAGCTTGGGTTCATGTTTGAGCCAGATCCGGATACAAGTAGGTTACACTTCATATTACAACTGCCTGAAATACCGTTGATAATAAGAATCAGAACTGATCAAGATCTGCGACAATAACCCCGGCTATCAATACCAGAGAGGCACCTTCGTCGATGAGGACGGTAACACAACTAATTACTCCATCCCCCGCTACTCTAGCGATCACCCCCAAGACGGCATTCCCCACGAAGCAGAAGTCGCCATCAGAAACTTCATCAACACCGTCATGCCCCAGTTCTCCGATCGGCCCCTCCTCGATGCTCGTGTATGTTGGTGTACCGATTCACCGGATGCTCACTGGCTCATCGATCGCCACCCCATACATAAAGACCTTCTACTCGCTACAGGTGATTCTGGACACGCGTTCAAGATGTTCCCGATTATCGGAAAGTACATCGCCGATGCGTTGGAAGGTCGTGAGACGGGATTGAGGAAGGAATGGGTTTATGGAGGACGAGTTGCGAAACCGACTTCGCATCGGCCTGATACGGAAATCAAGGACTTGAGGGATGTCATGGGTATCAAGGCGGAAACGAAGTTGTAAATTGTTATTAGATGCGTAGCTGCGAAACTTCTTTCTAGTGCAAAATATATCATTTTGGTATGCACGCAGCTCCAGTCATATCGACTTCCTCAAGGACTTTCACAGCCCTCATAGTAGTCATAAACCGAAACATCATCAATCTGAATCTTGACCGTTCCCGCTGACGGCTGGCTTGTACAGAAGAACCCAATCGACAACCTCTGGTTATCATTCTCGGCAGTAATGCGATACTCCTGCTCATAATACTGATCCTGCACAATTGCCTGATCGCCATCGACGGCAAGAAACAGCCGGTTCGCGCCCCCCGAACCAGCGAATGTACCAATTCTGCATTCATCTGATTCAAGAGGCTGGCCTTCAATGAGCGCATAGTGAAACTTAAAGACGTATTCTTGTCCGGCGACGGTGTTGGTTAGTTCTTGAAGGATGGAAGAACTTCCTCCGACCGCGGCGTCGGGGTAAGAATATGCCCTGTATCAGTTAGTAGTGTCGTTTGTGGGGGAGAGGGGTGAGCTGACATAGAGCGGGCTCCAGATCTAGGGAAATTGGTGGTTAGGGTTGAGACACCCAGCAAGATCCACGGGTCGACTGTGGGGTTTCCATTGTCGTCTAGATCATCGAAAGACGGGTTCTTGACGTAGTTGGTGTAGACGCCCGTGAACTCGCACACCGGCGCAGCAGAAGTCGTCGCGGTCGCTGTTGTAGAGACATCAGTGCTGGTAGACACAAACTCTGTAGTCGTTGCGTCAAGCGTCGCGGTGGAGGTGAGCAAGGTCGAAGAATCGCCAGCAGTGGTCGAGGCCTCAGACAAAAAGGTAGTCGCCGAGCTCTCAACCGACGTAGCAACCGAAAAAGTTTCGACCGTTGCCGAGGTCTCAGCCGAGAGTGAGTTCGTCACAGTTGACGAAGCTTCATTCGTAACCGTGCTGGAGGTTTCCAAGCCTGAGCTCGTAGCACGAGTGACGGGCTTGCAAGGCCCAGCGCTAGTCTGCCCGTAAAGAGCAAAAGCAGCAACGACAGCTGAGTACTTGAGCAACAACATATTTACAAAGAACGAGTTAAAGAGCGGAATGGCGTCGAAACGCGGTATCAAAGAAGGAGTGGATGGTGATTCGAAAAAAAAACATTTTAGGGGCTCAGCTAGATTTAATACTCCTTTATGGAAGACTTTTCGTAATCTCCGAGAGGGCGCTATTGGCTTGGAAATTCGGTAGTTCACGATAGCGCGACATGGTGTTTAGTTAAATTTTTAGTCTATCCTATGTGATAAGATAAGGTAAAATGAGATCAGACTAGGCGTCTTTATACCAATTACAGAAACAGATATACTTACAGATCTTAAGTTCATTCCCGAGTTACTATTCTCCTTGCTTCGTTTAATAGTCGAATAAACAATCCATTCTCTGCTTCGCATAAACGTCACAGGGCTGGATGTTTGACACGCTCTGGAATGTGACGATGTGCGTGCCGTGCCTACTGTGATGGAGAGTGATGACCGCCCCAGTCTGTATCAGTGCATTGTCGGACGGATTACAATCGTGGCCTTGTACAAGTCAAAAGGTCTTGTTCGCGTGTGTCCTCCGCCACAATGCTCTGTATCCTGCTCTCATTGCAACACCTCAGCCCCATCTCACTGTCCTACCAAGCTTCCCCTCCTCGTCCTACATTCTTGCGACAATATCACATACCACCCGTTCCTTCGCGCAACGCAAACGAAAAGCGGTAGTTACCCCGCGATATGTGATATCAGCCAAGTCAGAACTCTGTGTCCCAGACAGTTCACATGCAAGCATCTCTATCGTCTATTATCTGGCGGAGTATTCGGATCTGTGATGTAATTAGCTGCGGCTGAGTGCATAAATGACGGCAGTTTCTGTGCATTTGAGCCTTTTGGGCAGGTATCTTGGAATTGTGGCGGGCTGAGCGATGTATGTCTCATTCATGCTGGGATGTCATTGGTGGTGCAGGTTCTGTGTCACGTCGGCTGGTGTTGATCCGTAAGAGACTCCGTATCTTCTTTCAGCTCGGCCTGCGTCGCATTTTGACGTCTATGTATAAAGTCGAAGCCATTGCACTTGCTCTAACGTTATTCCCTTCTTCAAAATAATCTCACTGTCTTCGTAACAACTTCACTGTCAACCATGACTTCACTCCCTGTCACAGCCCACCGCCCCATCGGCAAATGGCTCCCCAACCAGCGCCCAGCAATCCAAGACTGGATCGCCTCCAAGCTCCAGCAAACCAAAAAGAAGCACTTTGCTTCTCTTGATCCCAACCCCCAGATCGTAGCTTTCCAGAAACTCGTCAATGACAACCCCTACCTCAAGACTCTCGCGAATGACATGTTCACCCAGTCTTCCAAGCACTATGACCCCACTGGTGAACCAGCCCTCAAGACCTTTGACGAGTTCATTGATGTTGTCAGTCTCATTATTCAATCTGCCCCGCCGTTCTTTGATAAGCAGGATCCTCCTACTGCTATGGGCATGATTGGGTTTCCTATCAATGCTGTTCTTGATTGGCCCATGGGAACCATCGCTGGCTATGAGTTCTGGCTTCTTCCGGAGGTCAACGCCTCTTTCAAAGGTATTCTTGACTCTTGGGGTTCCTTCTTAGAATCTCCTGGCTCTCAGTCTGGTCTGGAGGGTTGGTTGTCCAAGGATGCGCTGCATATGCTTGCCACTGTAGCCAACACTGGTGAACTCGGCGGCCCAACATTTGATAAGATCTTCATCTGCAACCCCGCTGAAAAGTACTACGGCTACAAATCCTGGGACGATTTCTTCACCAGAGAGTTCAGAGATGGCATGCGCCCCATCGCCTGCCCAGATGACGCCCCTCCAACCCCAGAATACCCTGATCCAACCCTCGTCATCACCAATGCATGCGAGTCCGCGCCCCTTCAAGTCGCCGAGCACGTCAAGCTCCACGATCAATTCTGGCTCAAGTCCCAGCCCTACTCCCTCGACAGAATGCTGAACTCCAACCCCAACACGAGCAAACTCGTCGACGGAACTGTGTACCAAGCCTTCCTTAGCGCAAAGAGCTATCATCGCTGGCACGCGCCTGTCAGCGGTAAGGTCGTTGACATTGAGCTTGTCCCCGGTTCTTACTACAGTGAGAACTACTTTGAGGGTTTGGCGGGTAACCCAGATGATCCTGACCCCGCGGCGCCGAACTACTCGCAGCCCTATATCAGCGCTGTGGCTACGCGGGGCATCATCTGGATTCAGGCTGATAACCCAAAGATTGGACTTATGGCTATTGTGTTTATCGGCATGGCTGAAGTGTCAGGCTGTGAGTTTATCGTTGAGAAGGACGCTCATATCACCAAAGGGCAGCAGATTGGCATGTTTCACTTTGGCGGGAGTTCGCACTGCATGATCTTCCAGCCGGGTGTTAAGCTCCTGTGGAAGCGCCCGCCTCCATATGATATGGACACGGAGAATAATAGCCGCGTCAACAGTCTGCTTGCTGTTGTTGGTAACTAGAGGTATTTGGCAGTATAGTCATTGTTCATCTCGATAAGCCTCTCTTAGGAAGATTCACAGAGGCGATGGATGTGGTTGAAGTTACAAAGATAAGCCTCGCTCGCAGAGGCAGGGTCAATCATTAACTGTGAACGGTGGGTTTGGTAGCATGGGCTGGGGGGACACGGGAAAGGATTTGAAGGGGGCAACCAAATTTCTAGTCTAGGATAGGAACTGTACTATATAGTCTAGTACTTTCCGAGCCTTGACTTGATGCAGAGTAAGATCTCAATCATAAGTATCCTTCCTTCAAGGCCATCCAAACTTTCGCAGCGACACAAGAGCATGACCGGGACTGGTAAGAACAACATACTGTAGGTGTTTCCCTGCGTCTCCTTCAAACGAAAGGTTAGCTCATTCAATGCAGTGTGACATACTTGATGAAACCACTTACTTCTGTAAAGACGATGGCTCGCTTGCGTCAAAATGAAAATGCATGGCGGTCCTCAGACCACCCAGGCTCTGTGTTTCGTCATCAAACCGTGACGGGCGCGTCTCTCAACGGCTGTTCATGTCGTTGGTGAGGATCTCGTTCCACTTGCGATACCCAAACTCGTTCAAGTGAACATTGTCCTCGCTCATGATGCCCGCCTGATCATCTCCAAAAGGCAAAAACACGCATCCATGCTCATCGGCAATAGCCTTGAGCTTGTTGTTCGCATCTTCAATCACATCAAGTCCTAGACCACGCTGGATGAACAACGCAGTGATGACAAGAGTCATGTAGGGAAACTCAGTGCGCAACTGCTTGACAACCGCGCCGTACGCATCCGCATCGCCCTTTCGAAGACCCTGCTTCTTGAGATTGTTGGATCCCATGTGGATGTACATAGTCTTAAGGTTAGGCTGGTGCTGCTTCAGGAGGCGGGCGAGACCTTGATCCATGCGGTACTGAACATTCAATATCTTGTCGCCGCCAACGCCGAGGTTGAGGATGCGCGAGTCCTTGTTGATGCTCAGCATTCGGCCCGTGCTCTTGAGACGCTCGACACCGCTGGCGCCGAGGAGGGCGGTGGTGTACTGGCCAGGGTTGTTCTTGATCTGGGACGCGTGGGTGTTGTGGTGGGTCTGGTGAGAGCGAAGCTTGAACATTTCGTCGGCGGTTGGTTCGACGCTCACGAATTTACCGGTTGATTTAAAGCGCTCGAAGAGGCTATCGCCTAGAACAGCGACGGTGTACTCACCCGGGTTGGCCTTGATCTCAGGGACGTGGATGTTGTGATGGGTCTCGTGAGATCGTTGCTTGAACATCTTGGGCGATTTAGCGATGGTCGTGATGGATATACGTGGGGAGAAAGTGACGAGCAAATGAACGCGCAGGCGAGCACTTTTTTATTCTTGTCAGCGACAACTCAATCAGCAAAGTTTGATCAGATGAGGCTCTTTCAACGCGCAAAAGTCAGCACTGCCGAAGGAGTCATTCGGTCGAAGTCAACTTACAATGTCAAAAGCCCTTGTCTCGGGAATAACAGTTGTGGATTCGCGTGCAGGGTTGAGAGTGGTTAGAGTTGGGAAGAGGAGAGAGCTAAAGTGAGTCTAGCAGGGTTAAATTGCAGGGGATTGCTGCCTAAAGTCCAGTGGCATTCACTGTTGCTCCACCGCACACTGCCACTGTCACAAGCAGCCACTGGGTTATGCAGTGTTTGTGCACTGGCATAAAGTGCTTGCTACCCTGTGACGTGACACAGATGAATTTGCCAGTGCAATCAAGTGCAATCATCCCAATTCATGATGCAGCAGAGCATGATGGTAGAACACCTTTCCCGATTGTCTAGCAATGGCAAAGTCGATTGTATCAGCTATTGTTTATTGTTTGCCCAACATTGTCGTTCTTTGCCGATTGCACAACTAATGGATTTGCAAAGCACGCGCATTAGAACAATCAATAGTAAAACTGCACTGCGTACGCTTGTCACCGATGAATTATGCCGTTAAGATGCCTGATCCATCAACAAACCTCTTCCGAAACCATCTACCAAATTGTCTGCTTCACTGATCCGTTGTTTTTCTGCTTTGGCAAAATGATATCCTTGCCTGTTAGGGGCTATCGCGCCGTAGGTGACACTTCATCTCAGCAAATATCATTTTACGGTCTTTTTAAAACACTGGAACACAGTTTGCTCTATTTTACGGCCCATTTGCTACGCAGGATCATTTATTTGGAAGAGATAACGATTACTTTATGTCAATCTGTCCATTCGACTTACAATTGCAACCAGGAAACACCAAATTCGAGGTCACATAACGAGATACGATTGTGTGCAGTATTTGGCAGCTGCAAGACCCTCTTGCCACCACGGCCAGATTTAGGCCATTAGGCCATGAAACATCTGCAGATCAATCTCAACATATATACAAAAGCATGATGAACCTGACGCCTGTCAAGCCTCTTCGGTAGAAAACCGAGGTGTGCATGCCACGCGCGTTTTGCATCCGCCAAGACGGACATACATATCCTGATGGTGGATTCCTGATGCGTCGGGGACGGATCTCGAAGGAACCTTCTTGGCCCCTTGTTTTACCTGCTGGTGGTTTTCTCCAAATGATCTGCAAGACACTAGAATTTTCTGTTTGTCAGTGAAAGCGCATCCCCTCACGGCAGATGGCACGGGTAGTAAAACGCGGTGGTAAGATTACAAGCGTGATTCAATATCATGCAAAAGCCACATGGCAACCTACAACTTTGGCAATGCATAGTGCACCTCAAAACTCAGCTCAACATCACCATCAATTCACTCAAAATACATCTAGATTCCCCAGACTCTTCTTCCTTTCCCCGCGATGGTTCGACACGCCAAGCACATCCCCACGATTCCCGGGTTACCGGACGCCGAGAAAAGAGAAGACACAAAGCCCTCATCCTCAACAATGGAACAGGGAAATACCATGACGAGTACCCAAGAGATCGCTCCACCAGAGGGGAAAAACTCGTTCGACTTGAGTGCGCTTGGCAGACTTGGCCGTCTTGGCTGGCGCGTCGCAACGGCCGCATTCTCCAACTCGTCTCCATCTTCTCGTATGGGGTTCCCCGTGGGGTCGGTGAGAGCTTTTTCCTGTTCTTAGAGATTCAGATGCAGATGTCAGAAGAAGGAACAAAGTCGAATGTTGTGATCTGAGATGATCTGATGTGCCCCGTCTGTGCATTTTTACCCCAGACTTGGCTGATGACACCTGAATCACTATGAAGACAGGACAACAGATTGGAGCCAGCCAGGAGAATGGACTCTCACCTACTCCGATGATTCAACAAATTGCCCCCATTCCTATTGGTCATCTTTATTTTAAGCATGAATAAGTTGGGGCACAAAAGGCGGAGTATAGAGGAGACCACGTCAAAAGTTTGGGGGCCAGCATAGTCTCTCATCTCGCCTAAAACTGCACATCTCTCTCTTTTCTTCTCACCCCAAGTTTTGCATTCGGAGAGCCAAGAAACAGCCAAGATAAAAAACCCCATCTGCACCAGCTTGCCATCGATGTGGTAATTCTTCCGCTCGTCCGCCACGTGTCGGCTATGTCAAGTCCTGCAGCCTCAAGTCATAGCCGCCCCTTGAAATCGCTACTACTCCTTCAGCTTCATGGGTTGATCTGGCGATATTTTGAGCTGTCAACCCCAGAAAAAGACGCATTGCCAAAACGCGGAGCCGTTGTCACAGCCTTGGCGACAGCAAATCCGGGGTTATCCCCATATCTGCTTGCAAAAGATGCAGATATGGGTCGAGATTGTGAAGGAGATATGGCGAGCCTTGGCGGTAACCCTCGTGTGGATATTGTCCGATGCTGGCACACGAATGAGAGTGATTGGATAAGGCGTTACGGTTGCCAAGACAAGCCTCGCGTGGCAATAGCATAGGCTTGGCGTTGGATAACAGAATCTGCGATATGGAGAAGACACCTTGGGGTTTGTGGGGAGGTCCAGATATCTTTTCCCACGGGGTAAAAAATATCTTGGCTTGTGTATAAAACCGGTCCCTCATCCACCGTCCTTTCTCTCCCGTCGATCATCCAGCATCGTCTTCACGGGGTTGAAAATACTTCCCTTTCTTCATTCCCCAGCTTTCTTGATATCAGCTTGGTAGCCAAGATGACAGCCCACGATAATGTCTCCGCTCATCAAGAGCCTACGCGTCCCAACTCGTCTTCTGGCTCCGATATGAAGGCTGAGGCGAGGGGTATTGAGGAGGCGCGTGGTGAGAACTATGAGTATGTTGATAAGCAGACTGAGAGGGTTATCCTCAGAAAGCTCGACTATCGCATTATCCCGATGGTTATGTGGGTGTATCTGATGAATATGATGGATCGAGGTATGCCAATCTACTCTGCTCTCAAATGAAGGGTCTAACAGGTTGCAGTCAACATTGGAAACGCTCGTCTGTTCCGCATGGAAGAAGATCTCGGCCTGACAGGAAATGAGTTCCAGCTCTCTGTCTCCGTACTCTTCGTTACCTACTGTGTAAGCTCCCAAAAAAGCCCTCCATTCTTTATGAAACTAATGCCCTTCAGCTCTTCGAGTCCCCCTCCAACCTCATCATCAAGAAGCTCAAACCAGCCTACTATCTAGCCGGCCTCACCATCGCATGGGGGATTGTCGCCACCTGCAGCGCCTGGGTGAACAACCTTGGCGCCCTCGTCGCATGCCGTCTCCTCCTCGGTCTCTGCGAAGCAGGTTTCTTCCCTGGTGTCGTGCTCTACCTCTCCATGTACTATGGCCGCAAGAGTCTCGCTCTTCGTATCGCATACTTCTTCTCCACCGCTGCCATCTCTGGTGTAGCTGGTGGTCTTGTTGCTTATGGCATTAGCTTTATGGATGGTGCCATGGGCTGGAGTGCGTGGCGATGGATCATCCTTATCAATGGTGCACCTACCATCGTCACCGGCGTTGTTATTCCCTTCGTTTTGCCAAACAGCCCTGAGACTGCTAAGTTTTTGACCGAGGAGGATAAGATCAACCTGCAGAAGATTCATGATGAGCAGGTTGGTCGGGCTAGAAACAACCGAGAGCTTCTCAAGGAGGACGTTCTTGATGGTGTTAAGGACTGGACCACTTGGGTTTACTGCTTCGCTCTCTTCCCTACCCTGGCTATGCTTTACTCGTTCGTTGTCTTCCTGCCCACCATTGTCAAGGCTATGGGTACCTGGTCATCAGCTGAGGTTCAAGCGATGACTGTTCCCGTCTACGCTATTGGAGCCATCACGTATCTCATCGGCGCTCGTCTCAGTGACATTACCCAAAAGAGAGGCTTCTTCGTCATGGGAGGTATCGGATCCGCCATCATCGGCTATGGCATGCTTATCGCTGGCAAAGGCGCCGCTGTCTCATACGCAGGCTGCTGTTTCGTCTCAATCGGCATCTTCCTCTCATCCGGTATTTCCTTTGCTTGGGTTCCCGCCAACAACCCCCGCTACGGAAAGCGAGCTTTCTCGACGGGTATGCATCTAACCATCGGTAACGCTTCTGGCGTCGCATCCCCGTTCCTCTTCTCTAGCCAGTATGCTCCTCACTACCGCCCTGGCTACGGTGCCAGCATGGGAATGCTTGTTGTGTCGTTGATCCTGAATATCATCCTCCATCTTCACTTCAAGCGACAGAACAAGCTTCGTGACGAGGGGGAGCAGGATTACTTGCTTGAGGGTAAGACTGAGGAGGAGATTGAGTCTATGGGTGAGAGAAGCCCGAGGTTCCGCTTTACTGTTTGAGTTTTGTAATTGTGTTTGAGTTCATTGGGATTTATAATGGATATTGATGACCTTAGAAGCGAATTAGAATATGTAACCATGAATATTAGGATGATTGATTTGTATTACCTTTTGTCGCTGGTGCATGAACGTGTGATCAATTACCCACGACGTCATGTCTCGTGACGTACTACCTACAGAGCCAGCAGAAGATGAACGCTGAACATGAATGTCTGGCCAGTCTCTTGCTGTGTACACCGACAACACTACACATAAAATAGTAATGCGAAGATCTCCTGCTTCCCGTCAAATCTCTTAGCTAACATGAGAATAGATCTGAGCCTCCTTTCTTAACAATTAAGAGCCACGCCCGGTTAGCTCAATCGGTAGAGCGTGAGACTCTTACGAGTACGCGATCTCAAGGTTGCGGGTTCGACCCCCGCATCGGGCTGTTCCTATATTCGATTGCGAGCGTCAGCGAGGCTATCATTTTTTGCACATTGTAGAAAGATCCAACCAAGAGCTTGATATGTCGTATACGCCATGTTTTTGGCCATCTGCAGGTTGGTAAGTAATCTTGTCGATGAATGACCTGAAGTTATGCACTGCCATGCTATTCTTTTCTCTTTCCTCTCCGATAGACCAATCATACTCTGAGTCTCACCACCTCATTGCCCAACATCGCAAACGACCAACAGCATATCTCAAGCAACGCTATTGGGGCTAAGCTAACCGCCTAACATTGAACACCAATGGGCCATAGACACAACGCCCAAGTCCTACATCCTCGGCCAATTCTCGACCGTTTCCCCACTTACTTTTTACACTTGGCGCCTCCAAGGCAGAGTGGTTTACCTGGCGTGGCTGTAGGTCGCATCATTAGCCAGTTTCTCAGGCTGCGCCGATCTCCATTTGACCATTCTCAGCGGTAATATCTTTCGGCATGCTGTCGTCGTCTGCACGTTACCATCTGGCCTGGGGATGATGCCAATTCATCCTCGTACCACATCGAAGTTACTCCACGAATACTTTCATATAGCACAAAATCAATGCTACACTCGCACTTCTGAACCAAGTCCCTCTCTTGGCCATGTTGCACACTCATCCGCCCCGAGAATGTCCACATCTAGAAGGCCGAATCATGATGCTGCCCAAGAGGGTGGAGGTTGAGACGAGGATAACAACTACCGTGCCTATCACAAGCGGCATTTTCAACCATCCAGTTGTTATCCTCTCAAAGGAGATATATCATGGAAAAGTGGCTGTTTGTGTTGTCGGTCTCCGCATTTCCGTCGTTACAGCTTGTGTTGGCGTATAGAATTGCTAACAAACACCGCCGCTAGGTGACGAGTTTTGACGACACCCCAATCGAGAATCGTCATCCAGATCCCGCTCGACGACAATCCTACCTCCCAATACGTCCAGCCAGACACCCAGATACCCGCTGCGATCTCATCGCTGCGCACGGAAAGATGATGAAAAAGAGGTCCTACGTTAATATCAAGGATGTTCACGAAATTCCGTTTGTAGCACTTCGCTCCTGTTGGCGCGACAATGATCTCCACTTGGAGACAATATCGTACCAGATACTTACTTCAGAATTGTGGAAGCAGAATCTTGGGGGACTGGCTACTAGGTTGAAAGGCCATGGCATATTCGAGCGGACTGCCCAGTCGACTTGCAGCGAAGCTCCTGTGCCTGTCCGTATTGCCCATCCAGGTCAAGGGCTCACCCAAGACCTTGGTCGTGGTACGAATTTTGCCAGGATATCTAGCTCCCCTCTGTCAACATCCTATGGAACATTCATCCAAAACTCGACGGCGTCGGTTCCCCAATCGTATGCTACGGTCCATAACAGTGCAAACGCCGCGAGAGACTATCACTATCCAAGGATACATCAATTCCAGCCACCTGTGCTAGCGAGGCACGGCGATGCTTCATCACAGCAAATCTATGTAACAGCAGAGCAGCGGCGTTATGGTGAGGTCGATACGGAACCAGATTGGCCAGATTGGCTCGGAGTCTTAGCCCTCATATGTTTCCTGGCAGCTGTTTGGTACTGGCTTGCCGATCCGACTGTGAATTGACTTCCAGACGTTTATAAGGCTTGACCGAATAAGGCACCTGTGCGGCAGTATGCTTTTTATTTGGTGACGTTCCTGAAAGAATAGCCTGAAGACTTGGTAGAGAGGAAGGAAAGACAGAATTTAAACTCTAATGGCAAACGGATAATGGACAAGGTTAGGAGACCGACTAGTATGGGGCCCGTTCTATTATCTACAGAGGCATCTTGGTGGCTTCAGCATAAGGTAGATTATTCTTACGTTGGATTTAAATAGCGAGATTGTTATTATTGACCCGTACTCTCATGTCTTGACAGCGACAAGAATCACTGTGTTTCTATCAAATTGTGGACGCAAACTCTTCACCGGGCCACTTGTCTAGACTGGCTCGTTATTTGAGGATAAAGGTAGTGTGTTCCCAACGCTTGCTCAATCATCCTCCGAATTGCAAAATCGCGTATTCAGCTAGATCCAGCGTCGAACATAAAAGCAGGCTACAGTCTGGCACTGTCTCAATCGCCGCTCGTTATAGAAAAATTCCACTAATCGCAATACACTCAATCGCTACATACATATTTTTAGAGTAAGGCAATCGTGATCTTGAATAGTCATCTTCAATCTAATGAAGCCCTATCTTAGCATCATCTAAGCAAGCCCCCAGGGAATTAGTCGCACATAGGTACGTCGACATAGTGTCTCAAACCACCAATATTACCGAAAGCAATACCATTGTTGCATGTAGCACTGCAAGGGTTATCCTCCGCAAGCTCCTCAAGAACCTCGCCATCAAACTCCTCTCCATTGATGCTCAACTTTGCCCCACAGTCATTGAAGTCTGCATCATCGCCAATAGGCTCTCCAGCATTGAAGATGGTGGCCGTGCTGCCGCACATGTCGAATTGAGGGGCGCGGTTGGCAATGGAGCACCAATTCTCGTTCAGGGTGTCGGTCAGACTGGCCGACCGGCTTTCGTCACATGGGGATCCTGCGGCAAAGGCGACGTAGTATACGTCAGGGGGCGCATCGCCGAGACCAGCTACAGCAAAGACTCCGAGACAGACATTGCCTGCTGCAGCTAGAGCTGGAAGGGCGAGGAGCGCCAAAGAGGATCGGAGCTGATATCATTAGTCTCTCCTTACTTGTGACATGGCCGATTCCAGGGCTTACTGAGATCATCGTAGGTGTTGGAGGTAAAAGATGGTTCAGAAGTTCTTGTTTCTTTGACTTCGGGATAAGTTGATTGGAATGTTTGCTGAGCAAGTGAAAGCAGTGGGAAATCAACAGATATTTATAGTCCCTCAGATATCACTGTACCGGTCCTTCGAGAGCTGTAGGAGCAGCGTGATTAACCTGCTTCAACCCGCATTCGGCCTCAAACGGACTAAGGCAGCATAGCGAATCCTTCCACGGTTCTCATGACACACGATTCAAGAAGTAGACTGGTCATGCTGTGATATCTCACAAACTAATCTTCTATAGTAATCAGACTGCAACTAAGTGTAAGGTTAGACCTGCATAGCTATAAGTGGGTGAGATCTACATGGAGCTAAGTGCCCACATTCGCCATCGAGATCCTTGGCAGTCCTACGGCCCGCTCCCTAGACGTGATGTTGAGTCTCTATTGGCTGCCAAAGTACAGTGCAGCGCTTGATCTCGATATCCAGCTGCATCATCGGAGAATTGCCTCATTTCCCGATTTCTTAGTACAGGCTTTAATGCCAAGAGACGATAACTTGCCGACTTCCTGTCAGCAATCCTTCATTGCAACACAATAGAGGTCAGGATTAAGTGAATATAGCTCATGCAAGGTGATTGAGGTGATAAGGTTTATAACGGGCAGCAGCTTGTCGTTCAGAGGTCATGTGTTTTCCTTGCATACATGCTTTTGTGAGTACGCAGCTGGTCCGAAAGTCAACGGAGGCAATCCTCTCGGCCACAGGCAAAGTCGAGTCTTGCCATATGGTAATGCCGTCATGGGCGGGTAGCGGCTTTGTTTGAAACGAGGTTGTCTGGACTGCTTAGCAGCCCAGACACAGTGTCTGTCACGCTTCTGCTCGCCTACCTTAGTGGGCTGGTGCGAGGGCCCGAGAGCTGGTCCCCAGGGCATAGCGCATGGAAAGAGCTTGTTTCTCAGCGCGTTTGCTTGGCACGGCGGCATTTCAACAAGAGAGACATGGTACGTGATGACGTAGTCTAAAATCCTTCATTACATTCCAATCCTTTTCTGTCTCGTGTTGCGGATTATTACGGTTAAGGTTTGCCGGCTCGGGGACTATCTGCGGTTTGATTAAATTAATGTTCCTCTCTGGTGATGATATAAAGCTATGTCAGCCGCTCTGGTTTATCGCCATGGCTTTTACAATTACTTTCGCTTTAACAAGTCAACAGATTCTTTTGACAAAACAGACATAGATAATGAAAGTGGATAAACTAGATTAAAAAGTGCCATTTAAGCTTGAACTTAACATTTTAGACTTTTCACTTCACCAACCATAGACATCATCATAGGACTGGGGTAGCATCAGCAGAGTCAGCACTAGCTGAAAACACAGAGCGCGGGGTTCTATTCCCTCGATTAATTCCCAAACAAAGCACTGATCACCAAGGTTCCCCATTCATATTTCCTTCCCTGTCGATAGGACCATGTACGGCTGGCCGTCTAACACGGCGCTGCTTTTCGGACTTCTTCCCGCGGATCTACGAATCCTCGGATCCTGCCGTTCCAGCTCGGTCAGAGCCAACTCTGATTCGTCAGACATACATGCCCTTACGAGTTTCTCAACCGAGGTCCATGAGGGTAAGGACATGAGAGTCGGTGCGCACTTCGAGAATTGTGGGCTGCTTCACGACTCTATATCCGTCCATGTCAAATCAGCATCACAGACCTTGATAAAATGCTAAAAGGGACCTCAAAATCTATCTGTAGATTTGGCCACAGCTGTTGAGACTACGTGAATTCGAGCTCCTGCAGTCCCGAGGCGCGAGTGGCACATAAAGTAGATAAAATACTAAGCTACTATAGAACCCTCTCTCAAAAAACGTTATCGGATTGCAAAAGATGTTAAGGTCTTAAGGTCTGTCAATCTCAAGCTCTCTTCCAATGGTTGATCAGTCGATTCAGTCAGTTTCCAACCTTCTCTACAAACTTATCCAGAATTTCATTCACCTCATCTGGCTTCTCTAGCTGCAGCCAATGTCCACCAGTAATTTGCTCGACTGTTAGATCGGGCACGAATGGGTGCATTTGCTGCGGGATATTCATTGCGGCAGTAATGACGTTCGTGGACGCGATTAATAGCGTTGGGTGCGTTAGGATATGGGCAGCCGTTGTGATTTCTAATTTGGTATTAGTAAAATATGGAAGCGGAGGTGCCAGAGAGTAATCTCCAAGTATCGGGAGATGCAGAGAAGAGGAGGAGATACTACTCATGGAGGGGAATGACACACCTTGCTCATCTTCTTCGTTAATGTTGCGCAGACCAGCTCTATACCAGTTTATTGCAGGTCCATAGCCACCTTTCTCCTTTGAGAAGGCGTGTTCATAATGTTTATGATCCTATTCCATGCACGTTAATTTTCATGTGACATCACATCGTGAGTCGAACTTCTACCTCTGATGTCAAATATGCTGGCAACTTGGTAGTCTTGCCATCAGTCAACCAAGAGCGTAAACCCCCCAGAGCTCCCTTGTATTTCTTGGTGATCTGTTCGTCGGTACTAAAGTATAGGGACTCTACCGATTCGGACTGCAGTTTTTCCAATAGCTTAGCAAGTCAAAAGCCAATAGCTTTGGAAGGAACTTACATGTTGATCTAGAAGTCCAGGAGCATCGTCGTCATCGAATAAAAGGAAGTACCCAAGGATCGAGAACCCGAGTTTTGCTTCCACTGATCTATTGATGTGTTGTACAACAGCGGTAGTGAGACTACGACCAGGGGGCATGTATCCGTGGTCGATGTACACATAGCCTGAAAAGCGATCGGGATGATAATTTGCAAGTCGCGACAGAAGGAAACAGCCCCTGGAAGATGAAGGTTCAGCATCGTTACAGTCCTCTATTCATTTAGAGTGATTTGAATGCGATGACCAGAAAGGAAAATGAGCTTAACATACCAGTCATGTGCCACGCCGACCAACTTTTCAACGCGCTCTGATATCAAAATTTCAACAATATCATTAGCCATGTCCTCACCTTTGTACATCTCCAACTCAGTCGGTTTTGAGGTCTCCCCGAAGCCAAGTAGGTCTGGTGCTATGACGCCATAGCCCTTCGCTTTGAAAAAAGAAATCTGATGGTGCCAGTGATACGAGGTAGAGGGGAAGCCATGTAGGAAGAGAAGGTATCGAGTATTTGGGAGTTGGGGCTGGATATGAATGTAAGAGTAGGTGAGTGCGCGGTTTGTAGTATGGGTTGAGTGGGAGAAAACCATGGTTGATTCTAGTTATTGGGCAGGCTGTAAATTGCCGTGTGATGAGCGTGTAGTGATGGTAAGGTTGAAACTGCTGGGCTTATATATGTACGGTCTTGGAAGTGAAGAACGAAGGATTGGAATGTTGAAAATCAGACGCGTTCATATGCATATATTTATATCCCAATCCCCTCTAGCAAAAGACCGAAACGCTCGGCATTCACAGGTTCCTAGTTTTGTTTAACTGCAGAGGGAGTATCTTACCTACCAAGCTGTCAGCAGTGGCGTAGCAGGGAAAACAATGGGATTATGACACTTTTTGCCGATTGAGGTTAGTGATGCAACTTTTCTGTCTGGCTTGGGGTTTGGTCATCGAATCAAAACACGAAAGTTACGCTTTGAAGACTGCGATTGGTTACGGTGTTCCACATTCATGTATGCGTCGTTGACCAATGGTAGAAAGCTAGACCAGTAAGTAATTGCTGACCTTATATCTTGGAGTATTTTGTATGAAGCCTTTGTGGTCAGGTATAGTAGACCCAATGAATCGGTATTTCTTTAAGAATTAACTATTAACGAACTGTTATTATTCAATCAAATTGCCGCAAAGACGTCATTTGAGTTGTAAGCTGATACATAGCACGAGTAAGTAGATGATACTTCGTAGATGAACTGTCGACCTCAAGATTCGATCCGGCCTCATTAAAAGGTGCAGGTATTATATCTGGCCTCCTGGGGAGTTTCTCAAGCATGGAACAGCCTGCCTGCATATGCATCTCGATCCGACTATCGATATCCAGAAGAAATTCTATGTAACTGAAGAGAACGCTCGCCAAGACAGCAATCTCCATACTTCGGGGAGATCCATCAAGTCGAGCTTGGAGATCCAGGATGGCCATGCTATAATGTCGTATTGAAAAGACTAGCGCTGGGGTGCTTTGCCACACGTTAGGATGGTAACGCCTGCTAGCCAAAGCTCCGATTGATAAGGCCGCATGATGCAATGCTGGTTCAGTGAGAGTGCCCTGGAGGATTACGTCTTCCCACTCGGCGATTTCAAAAAATAGAGAAAATTCACCAGCGCACACGACTCGAAAGTACTCCATGTGCTGATACTCCCCAGCCAGTAAAGGCTTGGTAGAAGGGTATCGCAGGCTACAAATGAGAGGAGTCGCCGTGTACCGCGGTGCCCCGAGGGGAGCTGACGAGGCGAAGTCACATTTCCATCCCGCTCTGATACAGGGTGAGCAAGCTGGTCTGGCCTCGTCACACTTCTTATGCCTGCTTCTACTGCTGAATTAGCGAGATGTTGCCATGGCGTATGGTGGGGCCTCCTTACTTGCATGTCAAGCATCCCGTGGTGACTTTCTTATTACCCCGAGCACCATGGCGTAGTCTTCTTATCATTACTTATTCGTTTTGATAGCGACTTCAATTATGACGCTGAGTTTATTCATATCTGATAAAGTGGAGGATCGAGATGTCAGATCAGCGAGTAAGAATGAATTAAATAACGCATAAGCCTCGCTGAGAATATTGCTAAGCGTCATCGTTGTCCAATCACAACCTCAGCGTAAGTTAGTACATGTTAGTTTCTTCATTCTAGGAAAAGCGATGAGATTACCCGGATACAACCGCACGAGTTTACTACTCTCAGCTTGATTAAGATAATATTATCATCTTAGTTATCTCAATGCAGAAAAGAACTAACATCCCCGCCGATTTGACTGGCTACAAAATCCTTCGAAGAAGAGTTACGTGCTTCGGGGGACATCAAAGGCGAATAGGTTCTACACAGAGTCAATAAAAGTCGATTCTTCAGCAACAAATAGTTGAAGAGTCATAGTAAACCCTATCCAATCGTACAAGAGATACATCGCCTCCCAACTCGAGATCTCATTGGATTGCAGAATCCTCAGGCAATTAATTATATCCAAACACTTGGCTTCTCTTTAATATGATCTCGACCGGGTGGTATTATACATAGAGGTTGGACGGTGGATCGAAGACCTTGCCTGGGTTCATTAACCAATTCGGATCGACGGCTTTCTTGAGTGTTTGCATCAATCCAATGGTGGCCGGGCCAAGCTCGTCCATCAAGCACTCCTTCTTCCCAATTCCAATGGCGTGCTCTCCAGACACCGTGCCCTCCATTTCTAGCGCCCTCCTCATCATGATCTTGACTGCTTTGCCAACTTTGGCACTCTGCTCAGCATCCTGGGGATCGTAGAACATGGCGACGTGAAAATTGCCATCGCCCACATGGCCGACAACACTGGCAAAGATTCCAAGTTGACTGCAGTCCTGCTTTGAGACATCTATGATCTCTGCAAGACGAGACAGCGGCACCGCGACATCGGTGGACCATAGTCGGGTCCCTGGCGGGCGAATGCTCACCATTGTGAAGAGAGCTTCTTTCCTGGCTAACCAAAGGTCATGCTCCTCTTGTTTGGTCCGAGCTACTTGAAAAGAGTCGCTTGTGAACGGTTTGATAAATTGAGACACACGCTTGACGTCGCCCCTGACAGCCTCTGCGCAACCAGAGAATTTTAGAAACAAGGTCGGTTTCTCTGCCCATTTCCGCTTCTTCACGACTGCACTCCCGTGCTTGTTGAGAACCCGCATCTGTACATCGTCTAAGATCTCAAGCGCTGCGAGTTGGACCCCCGAAGACCGTATCAAGGCCGATGCAGCAGCTGATGCCGCTTTGATGCTTGGAAAGGACACCACTGCGACGCTCGTATCTTCTGGAATTGGCGCGAGCTTGAGCGTCACCTCCGTGACGATCCCAAGGGTTCCTTCAGATCCCACAAAGAGAGAGGTCAGATTGAAGCCGGCTGATGTTTTGCGAGGCCTCCTCCGCGTCTTAATTACAGAACCGTCTGGAAGCACGACCGTCAGGTTGAGAACCCAGTCTTTCATAGTGCCATAACGCATGGCGTTGGTACCGGAGCAATTGGTCGAGACCATTCCTCCAACAGAGGCGGTAGGAGATGGATCCATTGGCGCGAACAATCCTGACGAGGCGATTTGGGAATTGAGATCCATCCAGTTGACGCCCGGCTGCACAACGATATCCATATCCTCCGGGTGAAAGGCAATGACTTGGTCCATGTAGGACATATCAATGCAAAGCCCAGAATAAGGCTGAGCAAAGTTGCCCTCAACGCTTGAGCCGGCGCCGAATGGAATCATCGGCACCCTGTATTTACTGCAAATTCGGGCGATTGTCGAGACCTCTTCGGTTGAGCGAGGGTAAACCACAGCGATCGCTCTTTCGCAGGAGTTCGCCGTGCTCCAGTCCGAATGTCCATGATGTTCCAAGACCTCTGCATCGTACGTTACAGCGTCATCGCCCAGGAAGCCTGTGATTTCCTCTGCCGCTTGAAGCATCTCGTCGTGACTGGCATATTTAGGACTCTGCGGTTGCTGCGTCGTGGTTGATTGGACCTCCAAAAATGCTGCGCCGACCGCGAAGCTTGTGACAACCAGAGAGACGCCTCCTATGAGGCTAAGTTTGTTCTCATGGCGGCTGCGCTGGCTCGCTTGTGAAGCAAATGGACGCGACTTTTGCACCAGTGACGAATGACTTGGCCTCTTGAAGAATTGTAATGTTGCCAGACGCTGACTCCCGAACACCGGAGAGACGTTGCTTTGGAACCTGGACAACAACATGCTTGAGTCTGCGCGTATCCAGGATCAACTCGTCCCAAAGTGAAGATGGAGGTTGAAAAGCATAACGGGATCTGCACAGAATTTAGTTGTCGGATGGCTCCAGCTCTGATGAGAACGCTGGCGTATCAATTGCTCACACCAGCCCCAACGGGATAACTTACCTTTCTTTGTCTTGACTCGGCTAATCACCGCCAAGGTTGTAGCGTAGCTGCCGACTGATAGGGGATAATGGAGAACATGATAAGGATGTCCCGCATCCATCAACACATGATATAGCCGAGCTTGGTGATAAGATTAGCCGGCCGGTTTAATCGCTCATTGGTGTCAGTATCCAAGAAAGGGTACGCCACAATTCCCAACAGGGCGGATCTGGCCCCTAGGTTCTCGACTAACTTAGGCGTTATCGTGAATGTTGGAAACTCTACTTCACCTGCGGAGATAAGCCAGGCTGTCCTGAGGTGAATGGATCATTCAAATAACAAAGCATTACACGAGTGTGAATTCTGATGATCAGCACAATTATCATCGCTGTCTTTGAATAAAGCTATGGCACCTACACAAACAACGGACTCTGGAGATCAGAAGAAGGCGGCTGCGACGCCTTCTGAACAGATCAGTGTACACGATGGCTACTCGGAGAGTGTCAACACTTATACTACGGCTCTGAAGCTAGCCGCAGCCCACGAAGGAGATGAGATAGACGCTGTCGCTGAAAAAAAGCTAGTCAGGAAGATTGACTGGCTCCTGATGCCCTTGGTAGGTCTCTCCCGCTTTAATCCACTCCTGCGTGGCTATGGTCTTTCTTGACCAAAAGACGCACGAGAACGCGGCTGCCAGAACATGAGACTTACACAGGGTTATCTAGATGTGTGCAACCTATGCACTCCAATACTATGATAAGGCAATCATCGGCCATGCAGCCATCTTTGGCTTGAGGGAAGACTTGGACCTGATGGAGGGTCTTCGATATTCCAACACAACTCTCATTTTCTACTGTGGCTTCATTCTCGGTTGCTATCCTGTAAGTTGTCCCCAGCGTTCACCACTACTGTCACCAGGCGACCTGGCAATATCCAACAAGAGAACCCTGACATGAATGTGCTCTTAGATCACCCTGCTGGGCCAGAAACTACCCACCGCCAAGGTCTGCGCGGCCATCTGCTTCGTCTGGGGAGCTGTCGTTGCGTCGACGGTGGGATGTTCCTCGTATGAGGGATTCATGACAAATCGTTTCTTTCTGGGGCTCATCGAATCCGGTGTCTCCCCTGTATTCATGCTCGTGACATCGAAATGGTATACAAACGAAGAGCAGGTTCTCCGGTCTGGCTTATGGTATTCCTGCAGCGGCGGTGTTAATCTGATCTCTCCACTCATCAACTATGGGCTCGGCAGCATTCATGGACATCTTGCCGGCTGGAAAGCCATGTACCTATTCGCCGGTCTCTTCACCGTTGCTTGGTCCTTCGTCATCTGGGCCTTCTTCCCTGATTCGCCGGCTACAGCAAAACATCTCAGTGAGGAGGAACGTGCATTGGCCATTCTTCGGCTTCGGAGGAACAATACTGGCTTTGAGAATACGAAGCTGTCACCTCGGCAAATCTGGGACACATTGAAAAGCTACCAGTTCTGGTCTGTTTTCATCCTCTCCATGCTGTGCAGCACAGCGAGCGGTGCTTCCAACACATTTGCATCTTTGGTTTTTAAAGGCATGGGCTTCAATGTCTTCCATACTCTGCTACTTAACGTCCCTCTAGGCGCCATGGCATTCATCACAATCATCGGGTCAGGATGGCTAGGGCGACGATTCCAGAACATGAGACACCGCATCTATAGTGTTGCATGTATCCCTGTCATCATAGGGTGTTGTCTCTTATGGAAATTGCCCCGCGAAAACACAGGGGGAAGAATTGCAGGCGTCTACCTCGTCACGTTCTTTGGTTCGTGCTATGTCCAGGTTATCGCCTTTGGAACATGCAACTTTGCTGGATACACCAAAAAGACAGTGGTGGCAGCTGGGATCTTTGTGGCTTGGTGTCTTGGGAACATCATCGGACCGCTGCTCTTTAGCGCGTAAGTTTTCGCCGCCTCTTGAGAGTTATTGAAGACTCTGGAAGCTCAATCCTTTCTAACCTTTTGTCTACAGGAAATACGCCCCGGGGTACAATCAGTCTTTCACTGGTATCATGATCTGCTTCGCTATCGCTGTTGGTGTCTGTGAAGCGACAAGATTCATGCTAGCACGTGAGAATGCACAAAGGGATGCCAATTATGGCCGCCCCGGTGTTAGCCATGGCCTTGAAGATATCACGGAGAAGGAAAACAAGGACTTTAGGTACCAGCTGTAGGGTCATTTGATAGCCCGTGGAGATTCGTCAAGTGGGCGCAGGGGTCGCAATACGTTGTCAGAATAAAGTCCAGCCTCAATTTCAAA